TGTTGCAATAAATAGATATTTCCTTGTTAACAATGCTGTCTATTTAAATAACACATTTGACTCGAATAAGAAAGCCATGTCAAACTGACAAACCTGTTTTTTCCAAAACAATTTGAAAATTCCAATCAACTACCCCATTTTAACATTTTGAATCAAAATGCCAAATAAAAAATGGTTGGATAAATCACTTCAACTTTCAACTTGGATTGAATAAATTATCTGAGTTAAATCAACCCTTCATATTTAATTTCTTTGATTTTTGCCCCATCCTAATATTTGTTTCTTAATATATTTGGTGGCATTTTTTTTTAATTGTCACAAAATGTTTCCATATCCTGGGAAAGGGTTCTTAGAATATTTGAACTCATTTTATTTCATACTGAATAGATTCACATTCTTTTCACCATCACTATAAATAGTCCATTGTAAACATGTTAAATATCCTTAATTGAACCTATTTCTAAGTGCAACCATAATTCACTGTGAAATTAACTCTCTGCTGAATATTGTTATATTTTTAAAATATTAAAAAATAGAAGACCAAAAAGCATGGTATAATTCTTCTTCTAAACAGCAGGTTTTACCATTATTTTAATTAAACATATGATTACAACAACAAGACACACTATTGTGAAGTTATTTTTAAAGGCTAAAAAATAAAATTTGCAGTGTTATTCAGATTTCTCCATGAAGAAATATGTTAACAATATAGTAGTGAATTCCCCTTCTATTTTTTTTTTTAACATAAGAGAGAGGCNGTTCCTGCAACCATTCCTCATATGTTTTAGTCTCCAGTCCCATAATCATAGAATAGAAGAGCTTCTATTTATAGGAGTTTTCATTCCATTTATAGTAGAGTTCCTGGGGTCACCTTTGCTATTGGAATCCAATAGTATTAATGTACAGCATTACATTTCTCACTACAAATCAGATAAAAAGATCCTGTTGCATGTGTCATGATTCACAATTTTGTAGTTGCTTGTGGACAGGACTTCTCAGCAGTGGCACCTGATCTCGGGAATGTTTTCAATATTGAAATCCCTTAGAGCACAGATGTCAAACTTGCCACATCACATTGCTGTCACATGATATTTCATGACATTTTTCACCTTCATGAAATTGGGTGGGTGTGGTCTGCGTGTGATGTATTCAGCCCGCGGGCTGCCGGTTTAACACTTGCAACTTAGTATTATGGCAGAGTTTCTTTATGAAGGTTTTATTTCATTTTCATTTTCCTTCTTTTAAATACATATTTTATATAGCTTGAATTTCATATTTTAAGTTTTAAAATAATATTGTAAACTTCTTCAAAAAAGTTTACAATATAACCCTGTTTCCCTGAAAATAAGACCTTCCCGGATAATAAGCCCAATCAGGCTTTTGAGTGCATGAGCTAAAATAAGCCCTTTCCCCCAAAATAATCTCTCCCCCAAAATATTGCAACACAGCAGCAGCCATGAGGCGACCACACTCACTGCCTTCTGCACCTCAAAAATAATAAGACTTCCCCAAAAATAAGGCCAAGCGCTTATTTTGGGGATCAAAAGAAAATAAAACTGTTACTTATTTTCAGGGAAATATGGTGGTTTTAAAACTTAAAATATAGGGAAACTATGTAGAAAGTTTCAAGTTTAATAGAATTTGTATGCTGCCCACTCCCATAGGGACTCTGGGCGGCTCACAACAGACAAAGAAACATTTAAAATTTTTAAAAAAGAAAAAAAATACAGTATTAAAATTCACATCACCCATTCCATCTAAGCGGGGCTGGATATCAATCAATAGCCCCA